TGAACGGCGTTAACCACACATGGAGACGGCTTATCCTCTAGATAATCCATTGCGAAAAGCAGATAAAAAATGTAATATGTGATAAAATAATATGATCGCAAGTAATGAATCACAAAATCACTGGAACGAGCTCACCAGAATTGAAACGCGAAATAGCGGGCGGCGCGTTCCTGACAGGAGTCACCAATTGTTAGGCTGAGCCTGAGATACTAGTCGGTAAGCAATGACACGTAAGACGTGTCAAATACGACAGTATAGAAGTCGGTGGCGACTGAACCCAACGTATATTGTGCAGGCTACAAGAATAGGAAACGAATCAGACAGAGCAAGAAACGTGCAGCGAGGTACTCACCAAAACGGTTTGTGACAACCGACGTGCAGTCAGTGAAACAAGTGGACATTTCGAAGGTTAAAACAACCATAAAATCCAGCGTTACAAAATACCGAAAGAGCTTGTTTTCCGGTGCACTACACTGTCATAGAGTCCGATTTATAAAGCACCATACTTTTAGCAGATTCATGCCATTGCAAATGTTTGCGCTATTCTTACACTGTTAAATCAGCTTGATGATAATTGTGTTCGTCTGCTTACTGAAGTCGAGGAAGATATAGAAAAAGAGGAAATTCTTGCCGAAAAGAGAACAGCGTAGTATTTTATGTGAGCTTCAGTGAACGACAAAATTAATGGACCTTCTGAGCTTTCGAGACCCATTCAGGAATATCAACATGGGGAATCTGCTGCGCATATTTCGTACCCGAACTACTAGCATTTGCCAGCTGTCAGAGCGCATTCTCAAAAAGCAAGTCTATAACAAACTACATTCAATCATTAATGAACTAGACAAAGATCACGAATTGGCATTGCTCAACCTAGAGAGGGAATTTGACGATGGATAATGTTCTCAGTACTGCTACCTGAAGGAATGCGCAAAAAGCGAATCTGCGAAGCTTGTTCACGACTACTGTAATAATAATAAGGTCTGAACTTATGTCAGCAATCTACAATTAGATCTTTGCTTATGTGGAATCGAACTCGGCGGAAGAGAAATGCGGATCCCTTTCGAGTTGCAACACCAAAGATATGGTGTTCGTTACTCGTCCATTGCGAGAAAAATGCCGACAGAGACACTAGCCGGTTTACTCGCTGTTTGTAGACTTCACCAAGGCAGTGGACACGGTGAACTGCGAGTTACCGTCGCTGCTGGTAGGTAAATTTGTTTTTCTGAGTAAAGCTGCACGTTTAATTGTGTGTGCGAATGGGTGTGCGGGCGAGGATGCAGTGGACTGGATAAACCTCGGAGGAGTTTGCCGCCGTCTTCGGTGTATAACAAGACTGTATTTTAGCTCTGCTGTTTACTTTATTTTTAAACAAAAGGAGGTGCTTTTGAAGCTGCTTATGATTACGGTGTTCGTTTGGAGAACCGCGTTGATGTTGAGTTGCTGAATATCCGTCGTTTCGGGGAAAGAACCCGTGTGTGGGTCGTCGTTTGCGGAGGAGAAACATCAGCAGTACGCCGGTACGCAGTATCATGCATTTATGCCGCGTATCCACCAGCAATCGCACGTGAGCCACGTATACTGCGAGGGTCACTCGGTCCCCTACGCATGCTCGAGCTCGCGCCATCGGATTACAAGACCGGCTTGCGATCCCTACTTTTACCGTCCGGATTTTGAGGACGACTGCGAGTTGTATGCACACAGAGTGGATAATTGGCAGCGCTTGACGACTGCTGTCGCTGCTTCTACAGCGGCCAAGTTGGGCTCACCATCGACACAAGCAAGACTGCATTTTACAACTTGCCCCAGAAATGTAATTTCTATGTCTGGCAAAGTTCCACATCGGTGATGAGGTTTTGGTGTAACATATACCGACCTACAGTTGAAGATGAAATTGCGCATGGCGGAGCGAAGGCGGTTTCCGCATTTGGAAAGCAGGAGAGTCGGGAGTGCAACAGTCGTCAGCTAACCATTGGGACGAAAAGGATGGTGTACACGTCGATGGTTCTATCCGATCTTCTATACCGCAGTGAAGCATGGACGATGTGCCGGAAGGACGTCCGGTTTCTAAAGAGCTTCCATTAACAGTGCATGCGTCGGATTCTGCGCATCGATTGCAGTGACCGAGCTGCCGATAGGGAAGTGCTGCGCCGCACTGGCATGTATGCATTGGACTGCATACTTCTGTTGCCGTACCTGAGGTGGATCGAGCATATCAGCCGCGTGGATTCCACACAGATGCCCAAGCAGCCGCTATATGGAGAACTTAGTGCAGGAAAGCAGGCACTTGGAATAACCACAGTTGCGATACCAGGATTTAATCGGTATGAGTTTAACATCAACTAATGTTGATATCAGGTGTTGGGAAGTGATAGCATTGCATCGGCGCCAATGGCGTGCGCTTATCCAGAGGACGGCAACTCAAGCGTAGGTAAGTGCTATTGTATAAGAATGAAAAAGGCTAGTTGGGGAAGCGACAGGTGCCAACATAGACTAGCCCATCGACGTCAAGCGCATGGTGCTGTAGCACATGCGGTCGTCAGTGCCTCAGCCAAGCTGGCCACGCAGGGCCAACATCTAAGGCAAGATGAGTAAGCTAAATAGTTGTTCCTAATCAGTACAGCACTAGGTAAGTACGCTGCTTCCGATTTGATTTAACAATCCCGGCCACTAATGCGGTCGATGTGTGTTATATCACCACTGCATCTGCTCTGTACGTGTGCATGTGTAATGGGTTTCTTGCATTTCAGGTGTCGCGATTGATTTCCTTCGTGAGTGCAACAAAATGATGTCCGTTTTATCATAAATTTATTTTCCAAAAAATTTCCATCCCACGGGACTTGCTAAGAATTGCCCTTTTTCTAACCCGTAATGCATCATAGTTCCATTGAATGTTGACAAGGTTCTTATGTGTCGAAAAACCACTACCATACATAGCGTCAACTAGTCGAATTCCCTGCTTTTCGCCGATTACAGCGAGATATAATGGGTGATCATTAATCAGAGAGACTACGATGCGCTGGAACGGTTTGCGCTTATAAACAGTTAAAGATAAATTTACTTCCGTTCAGGGGCGCCAAACACAAAGATACGCATGTGTGCCACTAATCGAAAGTCGCAGTCTGATAAGGTGAAACGGCTTACAGACGTCTGTCGGCATGACACGGGTTGCTACCCGACCTACGGAGGTCCGGCAAAATTACGCCGGAAGCTGATGAAATCAAATCGCCTTCATCGCCAGAGGTGCCATGATCCGTACGTGATCGTACCTATATTCAGACAGTTAAGGCAGCTGCCAGGGTCCAATCTGACCAGTGACAGACCGGCGAAGTATGAGCATGAGAACTACCAAAGTAATCGTGTTCTGTGCCTAATATACCGGTCTAGCAGGCCTCGGTGTTCTGTATTCGTCCCCGGCGGGATTCGCAGAGAGCAAAACAGTGGGTCCCCTTCAGCCGTTAAGTCAAAGCAGAGAGAAGACAGAGGTTGCGAGATGTCAACATTTCGATTGCTCACTTCAGTCGCAAACACAATGCGAGCATAAATACACAGACGATTACACATGTGGAAAAATAAGCAACGCAAAGCAAAATGTCACAGTAAAGACCATGGCAACCGAGTTGGTTGCCTCATGAGCTTCTGTGCACACAGCATAGGTTGATGGGCTTTAATTAACAACGCCTTACTAATTGCCAGCGTATCGTTGTTTTTGTTACGTAATAACATTTTGAATACTGTCTCAGGGTTCACTTGATGACGGGTTACCATGAGGTGGTCGGTGTTGCCAGGATCCGATTAAGTCTCAGATCCGTCCCATTTCGTTACGTAATCACTTGTCCCAACCACTTGGGCAAAGGTTCAGCTACCTTATGAGCTAACCGATGGTTTATTCTGCTCATGTAAATGTCACCGCAACCGCAGGTGAACTGCTAAACCACTTGAGAGGTCGAACTAGCCAACGTGACGCTCGGACGGTTATGAAAAACAAGTCCTCGCGTGGTATGTCTGAGCCACAACTGTGCTGTCGTGTAGTTGCGCGTCAGCGCGCACCGGAGATTCCGTCCGATATCATTTGCCACAAGTTCCCTCCTGAACGGCAAGAACAAACAAACAACCTTTTTCTCCGCCGTCAGCACCTGTGTTTTCACACTGGAGGTCTGCTGTGTGCTTGAATACACGTATCAGGAGAGCCATTAGCAATTAGGGTCTTGCGTGGAATCGCTTATTCGTCTCTTTTACCGGGCTAGACGTAATTGCAGCCCCGAAACGTTATAAGCCGAAGAATCATGTGTACCAGAGGTATGCTCGTTTAGGAAAGTCACAGCCCTCAGAGAGATAACGAAATCTAATAAAATCCTATCGTTCAGTTCTAGAATGGATTGCTCAATTTTTTAGTTGGCCGCAACATTTGCGCGTCACTATTTCGGGTTCTCGGTTGTTATCCAACTGCCTCCAAATGCTCTCAGAGACCTTGACCATTTCTGCTATGTGCTGAACCGGATTCACTGACGCACGCATTGCTAAGAGACGGTACGATGAGACTGCACCTACTAAATCGGAAGAAATGGGTGCATATTTAATCAAAGTAAACTGGATGGTGGCTTACATCGGTGTCAAGTTGACGTCAGCAATCAGAAGTATATTGACTTCTATACATCCTTACGTTCCATCGGTTCGCTAGTCGGAAGAGTGCGTGGTTAATTGAAACGTGTGGGCTTTGATTACTTGAAGTACATTACAGGTGATTCTGCATCGGTGTGTCAGCAACGGACTTAAACGAAACCTGGCTAAAAATCCCATGTAATCCGAAATATTCTCAGTCATTTAGGACCACATATGACACCGTGTTTGTTTCCTATAACTGTTGCACGTAGGTGATTGATAAAAATGCACGGAACGACGTCAGCCCACAAACCACGACGTTGGATTATTCTATTTATAGTTAAACGGGACTTTTTGGTCTTATATTGACTCCGAAATACACGATTCCTATAGTTATATGTGTCACACAACCTTAATTAAAGTAGCGGCGAAAATAATCGGACAGATCAACAACTATATAACCAGGAATCACTCAAAATGGTTACCGATAACATCTTTTTTGTACGAAACTGCGGGAAGGTTCGTAGTCGACAGATGAAAAGATCAGATGAAGATGTATTGGCTTAAAGAACAAAATGAACAGGAAGATAAATAAAAGCTCAAATATATTTAACGGTATCACGTTTTATGTTGAGAGGGTTTTACATTGAGAAAAATAACCGTAAAGCATGTTTCGGCAAACTGTCCCATATATCTGTTGGTACGCTTGACATCGCGAGAAATATTAACAAACAACCTAGATTATTTGCCTGTCTCTTTGCAGAATACGAATACAAAGGTCCTATGCTGTTCCCAAGTGAGAACAAATCAATAAAATATCGGTTTCCAGGTTTAGCTGTCATCCACCGTGAACGGGAAGGAGTATTCGCCGGCAGATGCAGTGTCTGAAAGATCGGTTCCACATTTTGAGGATTCGGACAGGTCTGATGACGATGCGTATGAGGAGCATGTCGAGAAGGGGGAGGAAGAACACACGCGGTGCTTGTTACGGAACACGCAGGTGTCATGGTCGGCATTATGTGGAGCGCCAGGATACTTCAGAATATCGTGTTGCGTATCAATGTAGTCGGCGTATTCCACACTGGACATGAGGGAAGTGGCAGATTTCGGTAGGTGTGTACAAAAACAATGGGGTGGTTGGGTACGTATACACAATTGTGCACCGTCGGTGTAAATGCCAGTAGATCCCGTAGACTGCGATACATGTCCCGGCTGTCTACGCGATTGCCGACGGTTGACAAAAGTGTGTGAGTTGTCCAGATAGCCAGCTCGTATGAACAATTTGCTGGAGAACGCATGCGAATCCGCATGTGAGTGATGACAGATTAGACATGTCGATTGAATTGCCTGCGACTCGAAACTCGGGGCGACGGTTGGCGAGATTGCGCACATGCAAGACGGTGGTTGGTGATTGCGATAATGTGAATGATGATGGCATCGACGTGTCTGTGCATTGATTGGATTTCGCTTTTTCTTCCCCTCACGGTTGTGATATCGCGGGCTCGGATAGAGAGCGAGTAGACGAGTCTGATAAAGCAAAACAGATTGGGCAAGTGTAAGATTCTGTCGTGCAAAGGTAAAGTACAGCCAAACACTCTGCTACTAGGCGGCACATATATCTCGCAATGAAGGGTATTTCGCTGGATGGGTGGGCGATATTACGTTACATCTAACTATTCCGAATCTTTTGAAGACCATCGGATACATAGGTCATCCGTATTATCTCACGTAAGCTAGTACATGGCTCTAAAACATATATATAAACGAGTATGGAATAATGTTCATTGGTCTAATCGAACGTGCAAAAGTCTGACCAGCATGTTTTGAGACAGCGCAGCAAAAGTTTATGAAAACGCTACGTGGTTATTCCTCAAAGATGACATATGGAGAGAATTGGGATAAATCTGGACTTGACCCAAGTTGACTTCGAGGAATGAAGCTGAACCCTTGCCTCCTTTAAGGATCAGAAACCATCACGCGCACGGCTCTGATAACCGTGGTCAAGTCTGAGCCCGAGGTACCCGACACGCAAGGAGACAAAGCTGCTGATTTCGAAGTTCACTACGAAAAACAGAGAATATTTCGTTCTAATCCACTATACTAAGATTTGAAGAGATTTTCAAGGATATCAGAACATTCTGCACACTACATAAATTCAATCTTGCGACTAATGGGCAATCGATCGTGTAAAACGCGGTTGATATAGTTTGGACATCATAATACTGGATAATGCTTTCGAGAACGACATCGATGGCGCCTGACAAAACTGCGAATACCCGCGCGCATCCGGGTCAAATGAACACGTGTACAAGGCGTGTTGGTCCACAGCTATTTTATTTCATTGTCTTCCCGTTCTAAAATTATGTCCTTGTTAAGAACGCTGGTTCATTGACACGTCGGATTACTCTGTCACCCACACAAAAATGAAATTTGTGCGCATACTTTTTATAAGCTCGGGTTACTGAGACTGTATATAAGAGCAAGTAGAAAGATTCCTGTACAACTCTCTAGAATTATGGAAAATCAAAAACAGTTAGTTGCGAATCGTCAGCGGTTGTGTTTGGTCAGTTAATCGTTTATCCGTATTGGTGTCATTATTTCCGGGTATACGATGTCTTCTTTTGGTACTGTATGTGCATCGTTTCACAAAAACACAGGTTCCCGAAAGAATCGTCGAGACGTGTTTTAAAACACTTCAAAGAATCAGCCTCTATTAATACTTCTGGTAATGTATTCCATAAGTTTACGAAGCTTCGTTCTATACAAAGCTGATGTGATACCTTGTTCATGAAGGGGACCTTGAGTTTGTAACGGTGTCTTTGGGTGTTACAGGGTTCCCGCAGGTGAAATATTGGCCGCAGTACGGGGAAGTGGTTCAAGTGTAGTACTTGACTGGCCATAATAAGGTCAATTCTTACTCGGTGCTATGATAGTATGTAGAGTCCGAGCTGTTCACGACGTTTTTCATACGGAAGCTTTCCTAGACTCAGTATCATTCTAGTTGCGATATGCTGTATTTTCTCCAGCTTTTCAGTTTATCACTGGGTAAGACGGGGCACCATATTCAAGGATTGGTCTAATGAGCGAGGTGAGTAGACGAGGGACGGTTTCTTCGGACTATGTGGAGAAACCACGTTTTAATGCCCAAAGCATTCGAAGTCCCGCACGGTGCCATTTCTCTGTATTTTCTAGTGATCTTAAATCATGTCGTGAGAGAACTCCTAAGTCTCTGACAGATGTGTTACGGTGGAGCAACTGGCCGTCCAAGATGTATGAGCTAGTGGCTGGACGTCTGGTGATACTGATGAACTCCGACTTGCTTGTGTTAAGAGGGAGTTGCATTTCAGTGGACTACGTTGACAGTCGCTCTGAGTCATGCTGGAGACGAACGCAGTCGTCCTGGTTCTCAGAGATCTTCCAGATATTCAAACCATCTGCAAACTGGGCACATAATGACTGAAGTTGCTGTAGACGACCGTTGATAAGAATAAGAAATAATACTGGCTCAAGTACAGTTCCTTGAGGCACGCCACTGGTCAATGGGGAACAGTCTGTCAGGTAGTCATTGACCTGTACTCTAAACATTCGTCCCACAATAAACTCATGTAACCACTGAAGTAGCGTGCCACCGATTCCGTAGGTCCTCAGTTTACGAAGGAGTGCCTCGTGGTTCACTCTGTCAAACGCCTTAATAAAGTCGATGTACACCATGTCAACATCCTTCTGTGTGTCGAGAGCTCGTAAGCAATGGTGGTTTGCGTACATCAAGTTGGTGATGCAGGACCGTCCTTTCGTAAAGCCGTGTTGCGCTGGTGTCAATACATCCATCGATACGAAGAACAACAGACATCTTTTCGCAACCTTCTCGAGAACTTTGGATAATACCGAAGTCAAACAGATCGGTCTATAGCTCTCTACTTTACTCGGATCACCACCCTTGGGAAGCGGTCTCACTATCGAGCATTTACAGTCGTTGGGGACAGATCCTTCAGAGAGTGATTTACTGAATAGGTTTGTCACGGCTGGTGAGATGACATTCGATAGGGACTTGAGTATTAGTGGGTAAAGTCCGTCTGCTCAGAGGGGCTTTGCGCCATCGAGGTTGACGAGTAGCTGGTACACTTCGACTAAACCATACCGTAGGTTGTCAAGCAGGACTGGTGTAACCTGTGCCGGTACTGGAACAGCCGCCGGTTTACTGGAAAATACGATGTTGAAGTGCATAGCCAAGGCGTCCGCGTGCCTGTAATGAGCGCCCGTCCGTCCAAGCTCTCTAAGACCAGTAGGTCACCCCCAGATTTCATTTGACGTTGCAAGTAGGCAAATATTCTTTTGGGTGCTGTTGTGGCCGAAGATGCTAGCTCCTCTTCGAACTGTAAGCGTTTCTTGATCTTTGCGGTGTTTCGCCGTTTCGCCGTTTATTGTATACCGCGTAATATTCAATGTAATCCGAGCTGATGTATTTATCCCTAAGTTTGCGACGTCGTCGCGCTAACTGGTTGTATTCCGTATCAAACTAATGCGGTTTGACAGGTCCGATTTTCGAATACTCCAGGGGAACGAACCGAGTACACAGCGAATTAAGCTTACCCTTCATTAATGACCAACAGACCTCAAGCGACGCATCCTGTGGTAGTGTCCAATCAGTCTGACTTGCGGCTTGGACGATCTCGTTGAAGTCCGTCTTCCCTTCCGGCTTCCGTTGGTTGCAATACGGCAACGACAGTACTATGATTGCCACAATGGAGCAGTGGTCACTGTTCGCCAGAGGTTCGAGGACTCAGGTCACGTTCAGCTTCTGCTCGCAGCTCGTGAACCTTAAGTCCAGACAAGATGCCGAGTGCGGTTACGCGCGTCGGTTGGATGACATGTTGCGTTGCCCCGATTTCAATAGTCACTTTAGCAAATTGAGTCTCAACGCTGTCGTGACCAGGAAGAAGTCGAACGTCTGGCCAAAACATCTTAGGTAAATTTAGATCTCCCATCAGTAAGAACTGAGGGCGGCACATGTGGTAGCCAAACGCAACGACGACTTAATGGGCTACGGTAGGTAACACCCATTATTAGTTCTGCGGCGTCTGAGGCGGATTGTGCATCACAATTGCTCGTAAAAATTATCCTCGTTCCGATGGGTGCTGGTAAGTTTGCCAGATAGTGACGATTTTATGTACAACAAAACATCACCGTGAGCCGGATTTTCGGTCGCATGGGAAACAAGAGTATCCTGACAACGCGACATCTTGGGCGTATGACATCGGAGTTCAGCCAAGTCACTGCAAGTCCTAGAACGTCCGGCCACTACGAGACAGCGAAGCGGCACAGTTCGTCACGTTTGTTCATTAGGCTGCACAAGTTGGCGAATGCCACACGGAGGTCTTGGAATGTACTGCAGGACGTGCCTGGAGGTTGAGCAAGCGGTTGATACGGGTTCGTACACCCTCCTCGATCACACAAAAACGTATAATTTGTAAGTCAGTCTCACCTTCCTCTGTACGGCGTTTGAGCTCAATGATCGCAGTCCTCAAACGACCCCTATCTTTGGGTTCCAAGTCTCAAAGGATGTGAAATTGTAGGCCTTACAGTCACGACAGATGAGGCAGTACGAGCTGCCGCATACTTTGATTTGCAAAGGTGATTCTCAGTGGTCGACATGACTGGTTAGTTTTCTGGTAAAGTCGGATTACTTGTTTAATCGTCACACTGTCCTCGCCCACATCCAAAAGTCTATCGATGAGCCCCTGGAGGAATTCAACATTCTGATCATAACGTATCTTAGGATTTGCATCTTTCGACTCTAGTAAGTAGAAGACCATGAGATTATGACGCCTCAGCGATATCGGTGATAAACCTGTGGGAACGGAACTAAAGACACTCACCTGATTGGGTTGTTGTTTATCAGTAGGGGACATCTGAACTCGATTACATGGACCCTTGCGTTTTTGAGTAGTCCATAGATCCTCGGTGTTCAGAAGTTCACAGATAGGGTCTAAGAAATTTACGGACCGATCAGTGAAGCGGCAATTCGTAGGTTCCGAGTCTGAGTCTACCAACGGTAGGGAACATTGGAACTGAGGCTCGGTCATGGTCGAAGACGCTGGTGGTGGTGGTGGTGCAGATCGCGGAGTGACAAGAGAAGACGAGCTGACAGAGGTACTTTCACGAGGGCGTTTGACCTCACGTGGTGAACATCATCTTCATACACGTTAGCTAGAGGTGGGGAACACCCCAGCTACTGTGCCGCACACGTGGTGAACGGTTTGTTTGTTATATGTCATATGTTATTATATATGTCATATGTTTGTTTGTTATATGTCATAAATGTCGTGGTGCATGACATCAGAATACACAGCGACCGCCAACAACTACGGAACGGTTTGGTTCTGTCTGGAAGAGAGATTTTCCCGTATTTGTTGGCGGTCGCTGGGTATTCTGATGTCATGCACCACGACATTTATAACATATAACCTGAAAAAACCGATGTCCGATGTCGAGAGATTTTCGAAATACGTCGTCGGATAAGCCAATGCACGAAATATAGAACAAAACATCGCAGCCGAAGCACCGAAGTGCATGAGTCTTATTGCCCACAAGTTTAGAACAAGAACCACAAGTAGCTTGAGACGGCATCGCAAGGCAGAGCAAATCCAACATGGTGGACAGAGATAACAGTATGGCAAATCAATGGCATCTCCGGATTTAGCCAAAGAATAGCCACCAAAGTTGCATCGATTGGAAAATACGCCAAAAGATGAATATTGGTGCATAATTCACACAGAAAAACACTGATAACATAGTAATCCGAAGCAAAAGTAGTATTCAGCACATGGTGATCCGAAAATCCGCGAGGTCCATGGGTTAATTTGAAATAGTTGTGGAGCATTTGTTGATACGTCTATTCTGGGGAACAGCTTATCGCATCATTGAGAATTACACAGTTTATTCACTGGTTTATTCATGAAAAGAGGTTTAATACGGGTGAAGAGGCAGTATCAACCTCTCAGTGATGCGACGATCTCTATGGGGATGATCGGTGGCGCAATAGTAAGGATGTACCTCCAAATTTCCGAATCCAGCGATCGAGACCCAGTGCAGTTCGTTGATTCTACTAGAAAATCGCAAGCAAACTTGAAAGGACCGTGGATAGGATGTTTTTAAGCAAGCGCCCATGGCATTCAACAATCAGTTCATAAACGATATTGTTATCGGATGAGTGACAATTGAGTCCCCTGTTTGACTGCGCCAGATTTGCGGAAGACATTATGCAGCTAAGGATAAAATGTCACAGTAATAGTTGCTACGAGCATACGGTTGCCCCAGTTTCAAACTGGGAACCAGAAATCACCCGTGTCACGTGACCGTGGCGTGTAAGTTTCGATTAGCTTAGCATCCAGTCGTAGCGGTAAAGTAGTTTCCCATAGACCGTGCAAAAACGTGTGAGTGTAAATTGTGTCAAGAATGGATAGGCTTATCCACCGAACAAGCGAATTTACGTGTTCATCACAATTGTGTAACTCATTAGATCAAAGTGATCGATCACTTAATAGTTAGATAGAGAGAAGTAGCAGGGAGAGTCGAATGGCATAGGTAATAATTCGTCACATCTAGACTCACTCAGACAGCCGTTACACGCCCAAAAAAACACTGTGCGCGCGTCTCATCCTTTCGGGAATCGTCAGCAGTGCGCATTCCATGGGACACTGGTTGGGCTGGAACCCGCAAGTCGATTGTTGCCAATCCATTGTTGAGACCACTGAGCTACGGGAGACGGCAGCGGCCATCGTGAATAAGTTACTGGATGCGATATAGCACCGCTCACTATCCACTGACTTATACGTTACTGCCGGGCAGAGGACAGGGTAGCCACCACACCAAGGTCACGGACCCCCTCCAAGTTGCACTTTTCTAGACTTGAACTATTCGCCATCCCGAAAGTTTTTAACGCAAGCTGCTCATCATCATCATCAATACACCTTAGCCGAGAATGAGAAACACACATCAGTTGAGATACCGTAATAAAATAAAGATAACAATAAACATTGAAAAGTACCAAAGGCTAAAATAGGAACACAATGCTGAATCATCTTATGCATTTGGGTTGAGATCATTGTTGGAGAAAAAAGGTAAAGGGGGAGGGACAAAGAAACACACAACACAAACGCCACTGTGGTCGGCTCCTCGCCATATCAGCAAGTGCATTCAACCAAAGGTGTCCATCACCCTTCGGACCCCAGCCCGACAGTCGGGAAACACCAATCGACGCCAAATTCGAAGTGAGGGATTTCAATCCTCTGGACAAAGTCGTCTCTTGGCTACCGCTCATCTTCTTCCACCCATACCACGGGCACGTGAACAAAGTACAAGGCAGGAGTCGGTGTGCTGGCATGTGCAACTCGTGGCCCAGCCAATCGGAGTCCAGTGAGTGCGCTAACGGTGCTAAGCGATTCACTCGTTCTTCCAGCACCAAATGTGCAACACCAAACACATTCATCGCATAGGCGGTGCTCCCACCAGACATGAGCTAGGCTTCGAAAGCAGCGGTAATCGAAGCTTACTAGGTCGGTTGATCTAATGTGCCAGGTTTCGCAACCGTATAGCAGGGTTGAACGGCTGCATTGTAAACTTTGCTCTTCAGAGTAAGAGTGATGCCACGCTGGCGCCATAGGTGGCGGAGATCGGCAAAAGCACTCCGAGCTTTCGCTACATTGTTCGTGAACTCATCCTCAGTCACACCAACGCTAATATAGCTGCCCAGATACTTAACTTTTTGTTGATCTCCACCAACAGTCAGCGCAAGAGTGGGCCACCTATCCATCTTGAAAAATGACTTTGCATTTGGACGGTGCAAAGGATAGCACGAAATGATTGACAACCAGAGCTAATTTATCCAGTGCAACTTGGCACGCTTGTGAGCCTTCAGAGATAAGCACAATATTGTCAGCATACTCCAAGAAACCGGTCATCTTGGAAGAGCAACACAATTTCTAAGTCGTGCTCGGCCAACGCCATTCCCATGACTTTGTAAATGGAGGGCTAATGCACGTTTTTCATGCGTTCAAAATACGAAGGTATACATTTAAACAGATTAAAAACACCACAAACTGATAACTAGAGAAAGCTCCAGACGACTGTTCGGCCCATAGCAGGCTTTAGCTGTGTGTAACTCATTCTCCTAAGGAGAAAGACGCCAACCACCTAGGAATGATAGATAGTATCACCAGAACAGAAGAGATCGCGACAACAAGCATGACTGAGTGGCCAGTGTGTTCGTGCAGTGTGGTTCATGCTTCACTGATATGCAACCTACCGTAGTCGGGGGGGTGGGGTCAACGGAGTGGGGACAAATGCTTCACACACCCAGAATGCGGTTGTCACATGCAGTAGTGCCGAGAACGGAAGATACTGTTGACGCATCAGCAGCATTAAGATTTGTGAAAAATACGAGGAACTACCAGGAATTGGGTAGTTGCTAGGGTCCAGATCATGTTGTGACGCAATTCCGCAGAATCTGCCTAGTACATCATCATAACTGAATAAGAGGTGTGTAGACTAATTAAACGCATCCTTAAGCGGCGATAAACATTACACTAATCTGAACTACTGCTAGCTGATGAAATCAAATAAAGGCAGGGTATCAGCAGTAAGCCGGTACGAGCAGTAGCGACGCTACGCTGCCGCATAACCACCATCACCGGTATCATGTGGGCTAAGGATACTGCGAGGGTTGTCCGGTCCCCCAAGCAGGCTGGAACCCACACCCACGGATTACAAGGCATGCTTGTGATCCTTAAAGCTACGAGCCAGCATGAGATCAAATAAGTGGAGTGCAGTGTTTTCGGACAAGCAACACCCACTATCCAGCTGGTTCATCAGTTACGGTCTCAGTGATCAAAATGACCAATGATTCCTTCAGTAGAAAACGCGGTCCACTTTGAGATTGCGCGTCACAACCCAATCACACAATGTGTAATTCAAAATGACCCTCCAATCAGTCATTCACCGTTGTGTCAAGCGTTGTCCGCCGTGACCCGGTGGCCAAAGCGGTAGAGGATTTCGTTATCATTTCAATTGTTCCGGATTCGATACCTGCTATCCCTGCTTGATGATACCTAATCAGCTCGAGGCGGGTAAAACCCATCATTCATCTACTGCTACGATAGTTCGAGGCGCATTTGTCACATAGGTGAGTGTGGTTTTACTATAGGGACAACGCGTGCACAAAAAAGAGGCTATATAAAATATGCGGGAAAGCGATTTGCGGTAGACCTAAAATGTGTATCATCCATGCGATGGGGAAGGGGCAATGCACGATCAAAGGGATCGAGCCGTAGGATGTACGAAGCAAAAACTAGTCCAAGGAGATAAAAACCAACAATGTACTTCTTCGCTGTCCATCGGCGTGTCTACCACCAACTGCGGTTGCTGGCATGCAATGCACTCGATCCCAGACACGCCGTCCTCTGATTCACAATCCACATATTGATGCTCGTTTCTAGAAGAACGGGAACGACCTGCTGCCATCTGGCAAGGCAGCACCCTGGCCTCTAGACACATCCACTGCAATGCCTCTTCCAAATCTGGTGTTCTGTTTGTTGCTGCTTCCTGCTGTGGTCTTCCTGTGTGGAATTCCGTTTTTATACTTTCCAACATTGAACACGGAACATTGACATTGAAATGCTCTCTGTTTGTGGTCGAGGAAGCTGGAAACACATTAGACTGGATTTCTTGCACATAATCATTGATTCTACATGTAAGGAGGATGTGTAGTGAATCCGGAAGGCCTTGCTCGCGTAAACAATGAAGACGAAACACCCGAAGGAGTTCCATCGGGTTGAAGTATATCTCTCCTCCGTTTAGCCCAGCCAGTTTAATGGAAAAGAGTTTGGATGTACGCAAAAATGCCGCCATAGAAGAGGCAACTTGATAATAAGTTGGTCAACTTCGGGGCACGTGTGTCTCTGGTCAGCTACGGGCGCATGACATAGCCGTTTCAGTTACACCTGGTCGATTACATCGCACTCCTCTTCAAATGGGCGTAGCAAAATCAAAATCAAAGATTTTGATACGATTGATCAAAACCAACTTAAAGAGCTGAGGCAGCGGCGCCATATCATAAGTTTAAGATTCATCATAGTTTCGCTGGGGTTGATTGGCAGTCGTTTAAAATTTAAACAACAGAGACAATCGCGCTTTAACTATGAGCGTAGGTTCACTTCGGTACATCGAGATTCTGATAACCGGGCACACGTGGGTCACGCGTGCCTTCCGCAACACAAAACTGCAGATTTCCTAGTTATCTACAACCGAACGTCAGTAGGAATCCTATTAAAACACTGCGACGTGGCGGATGTGACTCACCACTGAATGAAGTCACTGCCCACAACTACATACTGGCAAGTCGACTAGAGTCATATTTCGATATTTCCTTGACACGTACAAGAAAGATACTCTCTGGTTACATCTACCACCTTAACTACATTTATAGTGCGTCGGCTGTTTACACTAAGCACACGTGGACCCAAAGTA